ACTTGAGTAAAGAAGTTTAGTCAGTACTTTTACCAGAGTATTTTTAAACACAAGTATCTGTACTTCTACTTGAGTAAAGGATGTGTGTACTTTTGCCATCTGTGGTGAGGACACAATCTTTCACACACATCAACCTTAAACAAATCCTTCTAATGTTTATTTTTGTGTCTCTCCAGGGAGCGATCCTCACAACAATGCTGGTGTCCAGGAACTTTTCAGGTGAGCTTTGGCAGTGAAATGAATCACACATCAAGAGACAACAAACTGATACGGCCCAAAGACTTCAGACCGAAGTGCTGTTGATAATATAATAATCATTTCAACGAAGCCATGCAAAAAAAACACCTGGATGAAGAGAAACTGAGGTTTTGTGTCGAAAAACTACTTTGTTATGTCATTATATTGAAAAATAATACCTATATTTAAAGTTGAATACACTTTGTCCTTATCTGACATCTAATAGAGGCCTAATGATACAAATGGCTGTTGTTCTTCTTCTGACCGCACATTATTATCTGCTTGTCAGCTCTGTCTGCAGTCTTGATTTGGCACTTCAGGGGTTTGGCTTGGATTTCCTCCTCGTCAGCAGTTTGCTCACCTAAACACAGCTCGCTTTTGATTGAACATCCAATTTGTGGCTAGACGGTGGCCTAGTGGTCTAATGCATTAACGCTATTTGGACCCGTGTTGATTTGCTTTCATGTCAGTAAAGCAGATCCTGTGGATTACAACCAATTATTCTCAGGTCAAGATTGATCTAGACTGAAGAGAGGCAGACGAGCCAGACCTCTAAATTACTTTAAACAACACTGCAGGCAAGTTCATCAAATTGATGTCCACGGAAATAAGATTAAATCATTTCAGGGGGCATGTGTTTTGATGCTGAGAACATTTCCCTTCTGCCGCCTGACTTCATCCTAATTGAAAGGAGTTACACAATCTTGTCTTCACTATGCGCGCTTGACCCAAACACTTTCCGTAAACATCAATTTTTTTCTCATTCTTCTCTAACACTCTATAAGTTTAAGAATCTGGGAAATTGCAAAGGCTCTCAAGCTTTAGTGAGGCTCGCGTCCTACCTATGCCTCCACATTGAATCCCTCTCTGTCCAATAGTGGGACGGCAGCATACCAGCCCTGCCGCTACTACCAGCACGGCCGCAATGGCACAGGAAGGTACGTCTGCTTGAGGGGGCGTTGGAGTCGGGCGTTGCCAACTCTGTGCTCAGGCTGTTGGCATGTGGCCTGGGCTGCTTGAACCCCTCCACCTGCTGCCTGCTGCCTGCACACTGATCAACCACTTTTGAATGGTTGTCATTGCACTGGGGCATCTAACACAAACACAAACAAACATGTAAAGGGAAACAAAGCTCAGCTCTTGACCTCTCAGTCCTGCTGCGTGTTTCGATGCTCTAATGAACAGAGCTTCTCTTCAGGACGGGCTATTTCATTTCCTGTGTCCATCACAATGGCCATTTAACTGACACCCCGCATGACCCTCTGACATCCATCCATGAACGCAGCTGCCACTCAGCAAAGCTCCGTTTACGCATCTCTACACTAACACAACTTGGATGCAAATCTTATCCGATATGCATTTTAACCTCTACTGATCTAAAATATGAAAATGTACACCAGGCTTTACCCTCAGTCACACTTCAAGTTTACCTCCTTTAATTTAGTTTGTGTCCACAGCACTGGACTGATGCCCAGTCGATGCCTGCCTGTGCTCGCTGCAACCTCACCTCCGCATGGCTCTGGCACTAACAGCGAGCCAAGCATGTGTATGAGCTACAACACAGAGCTATATGCTAACCTGCATGGGAAGCTGTTTAATCACTATGCACAGTTATTGATTTTCTTTGTTCCCTCTCTCCTGCCTGCCAAGTTGTGTTTGTGTGAACAGAGAGAAAGACTTAAAGGCATCAGTATGCTTCACACAAAGTGTTTGCAGGAGCAGTGTTTAAGGGGAGTGGGTGCTACGCTAAGGTGTTAATAATGGCCTTGTTTTATCACAATGGTTAAATGTCTTGATTTACTGAGTTACATGCAAGTAAAAGTGTTTTTTGAAAAGATGTCCAGCCTTTAATATTTCTGCTCACTCTGATACCCGTTGGGAATGCACACCTTGACACCTTTAAAAGTGGATGCTGCATGTTTAAAAGCCACCGTCATTGCACGAACCCACCACCTCTGTTAAAATGCCTTTTAACACACAGTAATAGCCTGACAGGTGGGTGTGCCTGCAGTTGTCATCTTCCGTTTTCAGTTGTGTATTTCTTTTAGACGTTGAGATGCGGATATTAAACACGTTACTGTTTTCTTGCCTTTTCATTGCCCTCCTTCCTACTTTATAAATGGAAGGTAAGGGAGGATCATTGGTACATGACTTACCCAAATATGAGTGTTAACACATTTACATAAAGTGTGTTTGTTTTTAATCTATGTGTGTGTGTGCATGTGTGATGTTTTATTCACTTGTGTCTGGTTATAACTGTGTGGACAGGTTTAGAAGCAGAAGCACATATTGTTATGTCGTGTGATCAATTGTAGCCCAATATAAAGTTTAATTTCACATGAACTATTTAGATTACATTACATTGTGCTGTCAAGAATGAGATTGCTGTTTGTCAACCTGCAACTTTTGACACATCTTTGGTTTAGTTGAAGGTATCACACTGGAGTCAAAATACATTTTCCTTGGTGATACTCACATATTTCAGCAAGGAAATGCAAACATCTGGTTGTTAAAAGCTTCACATGGACTTGACCTACTCTAATTAATCATGTAATTAATTGAATTCATATTTCTGTGGAAAACCCTTAGGTGGGAGCCCTTATCTGCTCTGAGAAATGTTGACAATATGTAGTAGGATTTTACCTGAAATAAAGTGAGGTCTGATAGCTACAGTAGGGTGTCAAACTAAATATGAGTTATCTTACTTTAAATAATGAAACCTTCTCCAAGTTAACTTTAATATTTTCCCAATTCTTACAATCGTGCCTCTCTTTTTCAGCGTGCAAATCCTTACTAAACAAAAAGACGGACGGTGTGAAGGTGAGTCCTCTGACCCATGAGGGTTTTGTTTGATTTTCTACTTCTGTCTTTCTCTTCCTCTCTTCTGCCGTCTCCCTTTTGGTCTGTCATCCTAACTTCTCTCTAACAGCATGTATTGTCTATATTATGAACTAATGAAACCAACTGTTGGATAACCTCTGTGCTCTGGTGCTTCCTAAGTGAGATTAAAGCCAAAGTAAGGGTCATAACAAAGACAAGAGACACATGTAAAATGTTTTGATTTTTACTTCCAGGTCTTTTCTCTGATTCACAGCGATCTGAGTGAGCGTCTTGTCTCACTTTGTTTTGACCGACAGTCAGCGTCAATGCATGCAGTGAAGCGCCATGATCAACAAATAAGATTCCCATTACATACAGGAATTTAAACAATAACTAAAACCCTGAAACAATATACAAATAAACTGCACAAACAATGATTTAAACCCTTTAGTTGTCCTTTCAAAATGCACTCCTTAAATTGTTTTTGCAGCTGATTCTTTCTCTTAGCGTCCCTGTCTCATCTCTGTTCCTGTGTAAGCTTGTGCCGCTGTTTTGCTTTTCTCTCTTTGTGGGATAAATCTGGCAGCTTCACTCTTTTACTATTTTGATTAGTTTCCTTGTTTCCCTATGAACCCTTATTCTTTTCCTCCTTTCCATTGCTGTCTGTCAGAAAAGGAAGTCCAGCTCGAGTGTTTGTTTGATGGTGAGACCGGCTCTGTCGTTTCCGTTCATTTTTCATTCTTTGTCTCTCTTCGTCTTTTCGAGTTTCCCCCCCCCGGTCCTCTCCTCCCTCCTCTCTTTTCTTGTTACCTTTTGGGCAGAGAAGCTTGAGGCATTGTCTTTGACAGTTTACGTCTTGTCCAATTTGTGTTGGATTTCCATCCAACATCCCTTCATCTCCTCCTGCATAAGCGCCACCAAAACCATTGCAACTCCCGACAAACACCAAACACACTCATCCCTTTTCCGTATCCGACTTCTGATGACTAAGATCAGACATTTTGGCTTTCTTACCAACATCCCTAACCATCACAGAACAGAGGGACATTCTAATCACCTTAAACATCAAAATACAATCATCTTCCCTTCTTCAATTATTGCATTATGTATTGTTCTCATTATTTTTCATTTGAGTTACTTTTTTCTCTCCCGCTACCTGTAAATAAAACAGCTGTCTTGGTAACTTGCAGATTGTCTAACTAGTGACAGTTCAGTCATTTTCAAATGGTAAATGTTTTATAATCACAAGCAGCCAATGAGGAACCAAAGCAACACACATTTAAATATTGTACGATCCTGCTCTGAATCTATTCTGGTAAACACCCTTCTTGTAGCTTTTACTGGAAAACATAAACCTTTAGGGAGGTGTCATTCTTTAAAACATAGTCTGCAGTTAGTTTAGATCTGGCATTCTGTAAAAGGTAATTAATTACATTATCTTTCTTGAACACTTTGCTCCAATTGTTTCATCAGTAATTGAAGTCAATAGATGTTATTTAACAGGAGAATAAGATTGTGACTTTCGGTTATATCTGATTCATAATTTCAAGGCTGCCGAAAATGAACAACACACAAACAAGTCTGAGTAGCGTCTTCATATTGCTGATGTTTACATTAAGACTGCGGATAAATCTGGTGAAATATATCCTGCTTATTTTCACTTCTTGAAGTAACTGCAGTTTGCCTTGTCGGTGTTAGTGTAGCACATTAGTTTTTCTGTTAGAAGATATTCCTAGTTGGCCAGGGAGGACACCAAATACTTATTTACAGTGTCACTGGGGTATTAGCTCATCTCAGGGTTAGAAAAAAACTGCTTAAAATCCTCCCAGCACTTTGCTCATAACATTACATTAAGAGCACGTCCATACCTTTGAACTTTTTGCGGGAATACTGATTGCATTGCATTCAAAAAGCTTCTCGTTCTTCTTTCCCGTTAGTAAACCTGAGTCTGAAGGGAGAGTCCAGCTAAAACTGTTTTTCTTCTATGACCTAAATCTACAATGTGCTACAGATAAACCCCTATTCTATTCAAAACAGCATAACACTAAGTGTTTCAGTGTGCAAGGAATACCAAGTGACAGATGAAGTCTGCACATTTCAATAAATGTGATTAAAAGGTCATATGGATGAAGCTTTAAAATGATTATTATGAAACAGCTTCTATCTTTTTGTTAGATCCTCTCTCCCTGTTTTTCAAACTCTACATGTTTACAGATTTTCTGTAGTGGCCAATTCCACTTTTACATCATTTGGGTTATTTGACAGACTTGATAAAGCTTCTCCAGAGCTACAGTTCTCATTCATAACACTCTGTTCGATGTGTCACTATGGGATGCGCCTCAATGCGTATGCAAACAGAAGCATCAATCTCATTACGCCAATCCTGATTGGCTGGTGATCTTGACGTCTACGTCAGGGAATCCACCCACCCTATAAGTAGCTTGCGCTACGACGCAGCGTCATTCAAACACCTCTTCTCGCTTCAGAGCACATCTCGAATTATCAGTAGCCGGGATAGCTTAACGGTCCACAGACTGAACCCAAAGCTAACATTCGGTCGACGGGCGCTTGCCGGTTACTTTTTTGCTTTGCAAGAAGACTGAACAACATTAACACACCAGTTAATATTGTAATCTGCCTCGCCGTTTCTTTCTTTCGAAATCATGGTAAGGTTTGATTTTTTCTTCAAGCTGGTAACATACCTGTTGCTAGCTTTTCTTCCCTCCTCACCGACACCACGGTAGCGAGGACGTTCTCTTTTCTCTCTCACACCAGAGGAGACAGAGATAAAAACAAAAGGTATTAACACACCAGTTAATATTCTTTAAAGAATCAAATCTACACCGTCGCTTTTTCCTTTCGGATTAACGACAAGGTTGGATTTTTTTCTCAATAACGTACCTGTTACTAGCGTGTCCACTCCACGCCGACACCTGCGGCGAACAAAGATGGACCCTTCTCTCCCTCACACCAGAGGAGTCAGGGACTCGGAGGCTCGGCTATGCGGCTGTGGGTTTAAGATCTCTGGCACAGACTCTCACCAGGTCTGCTCGTCCTGCCTCGGGCTGGAACACGCTATCGATAGGCTATCGATAACCCCGGCTCGTGCGGGGCATTGTGCCCGCTTCACCATTAAGAGCCTCTGCCGACGGCTAGCACGCCAAGCTAGCTTGTCGGGACAGGACCCCCTCATGTCCGCTGATTCGCCGGCCGGCAATCAAGACATGGTGGCGTCTGCCGCAGAGATTGAGCCTCGCGCTGTGTCAGGCTGGGGCTCAATAACAGCGGCAGCCGCTGAACCGGAGCCACGCGCCGTGTCAGGCTGGGGTCCAGT